CACCGGCACCCACCTGAACTATGCTATAGGCCCCCAGCCACCAGCATCCCCAGGGACCCTAACCTCTCATCTAACCTTCAGGAGCAGAACCACCCCACCCTGCTTTATGCCCACCTCTGGGGAAACACGGCCCCACAGGACCCCCCACCGTGGCCTCTGTCCATGCCTGCCTCAGACCTGTTCCCAACCCACGCGTGATGGCTGTGATCTTCCACCCGAACACCCTGTTCTGCACGCCCACACACTTTCAGACTCAGCTTCGGCTTCACTCCTCCAGACCCTTCTCACCCTGGCCCTAGCTCTCCTGTGCCCACTTTCTGTCTGTTGGTGCCTTATTTTTTAAGCAGATGATAATACACCTTGTACTTCTGAATAATTTCAGATGCACAGAAAGTTGGCAGAGATATTACAGACAGCTGGCATCTACCTCTCGCCCAGTTGCCTCCAACGTTAGCATCTGGCATCACTATGGCGCCTGTGTCAAAACTAAAGACCCAATGGTGGTTGCTGGCGTTTCTTAAGCAATTTTTTTTGTTGTTGTTTAAACCAAGAAAGTCTGAACTTTGTTGGTGAGCAGTCACGTCCACTGCTATGCAGCGGGACGGCTAGCCACAGTTTACATCCTGGACTTCTCCCAAGTGGGCGTGGACACAATGGCATAGCTTCCACAGCACCCCGAGCTGACCTCTGGTGGCTCAAGGAGGTCTAAGGTCCCCAGATCTGTTCAACAGGTTGACAGCCATGGCCTTTACCCTGCTAGAGACAGTGATTTCACAATGCGACCCCAGCACAGACTCTGCTGGAGGCTGGGGGAGGAAGAAGAAATAACATTATCCTATCGGCCTCACCTCAAAGTTAGACTCAACTGCCAAGAAAAGAACATTCTCTACTGAAAACGAACACAGGTAAGAGGAGTTATGAATTGGCCATCATATGTTGCACTCCAAGGAGCAATTTATCAGTGCTATGGAGCTGTCAGCCACTGACATGATAAGGGATAACACCAAATGAGTAATGTTTTCTCCAGTACCAACTCCTGTAATTACAAGCCTCCTCTTTCCAGAAGAGAGACAGAAGATACAGAAACACCAATTTCATGCACTTGTGCCTGAATAATGTCTCCACGCTGCTTTTTCCAGATGGCAAACTTCTCACTGGAGAAACTAATGATGTGGGCATATTTAGGGAAAAACCAATAACGGCGTCTTTAACCTTCAACAACAAAAAGCGTGTTGTACAAAATGTTCCTTGGGATACATTAGAAAATATCAATTACATTGCTCACTGAGGTGTAATCGGCTGTAATAATCAAAATTAATTTTTAAAAATAATTAAACAGACCCCAGGGCAAATAGTTGATGCTCTCATCCTGTGACACCACAGTGTACATATGTACCTGAGAAGTTTTGCCTTCTGTTTGTAAATAAGGCATCTCGGGAAGACGCGGGACGGATGCACGGGCCCAGCCGAAGGAGCGGACGCTCCTCCTGTGTGCTGTACAGTCCAGTGCGCATTCTTTAAGAGTCTCCTAGGTACCAGGCTCTGTGCCCAGCCCGGCTGAGCTACTGGTAGGGGGATGTGGTAAGCAAAGACGGAGTTAATCTTTTAAATGAAAATGTAGTCCACTTTGTTTCAAAAATAATTTGCCTAAAAAATCCACAAGATAGAATAAGCTGCAAAACAGATAAGAAATCAGGTTGAAGGTAAAATGGGGGTCAAATGGAAAGGATGAAGCCAGGGAGAGGGCATGTGGGTGTGGTACATGTATGGTGTGTATCTGCGTGGGTATGCCCGTGTGTACACATTCACATGTGTGTATGCCTGTGCGTTTTATGTGTGTGTGTGTGTGCATGTGTAAATGTGTGTACGTGTGTATGTGTATGTATGTGTATGTGTGCCTATGTCTGTGTGTCTGGTGCAGAAATGTATCCCACTAGATGTGTCCAGCAGTTACAAGATTGGGTCACACTTATCTCTGAGCTTCCTAGTGCACAGGTCAAAGAGGAACACATAGTCAGCTGCAAAACCCCTGCTTCCACATGAGCTGTGGAAAAGTAGTTTTTCCTGGCACTAACCCTAAGGGGAACTTCTCTGTAGCTGCTCGGAAAGCTGGGGTGCCTTGCCACACGGGTCTCTGTGGCCTTGGAACATCCCAGCACACACCTGCCTCAGGGTTTTTGCCCACCTCTTCTGTCTGCCTGGACACTCCTCCCCAGGAGTCACGGGCTCACGTGCTGGGGAGGGCTTTGCTGACAACATCTGTGTAAACAGCAGAGCCTCCCTCGTCATCCCCGCACCCGCTGCTCGACTCTTCTCCACTGCAATTGTCTCCACCCAACACTGTGGATTTGTTTACCTGCTTATTGTCCGTCTCCAGGAGAGCAGAGAATATGTCACTTGACTGAAACTTCCGTGCTCAGAGCAGGGCAAAGAGTCAGCTCTCAGTAAACACTTGTTGAATGAATAAACGAGACCTCAGTTCAACAGCCTGCCTTCACAGAAGACACAGCCTGTCTTGAAAACAATTCCTTCCAGATCACTCAGTGTGAGCCGAGAGCTAATGACCACCAGTCATCTGGCAAACCTGCATGGCCCCAAGCACTGCAGTGTCCTCATGAGCTTTTAGATCAGCTGGTTCTCAACTGACCTCCCCAAGACATGGCAGCTGAGCCGTGCCAATGACACCAGGCTGGGGTGAGGGGGGCTGGGGGGAAGGGACAGCACCAGCAGGCCACAAGGGTTTCCATAAAAGGGATATCCATTCCCAGCCCCCTGGCTGTCCCTTCCCTAGCTCCCCAGCCAGACTGACCTGACCTCCTGGGAACAACGCTGGCCTGGTCAAGGAGCAGCAGCCCCAGGGTGAGGTAGAGGGAGAGGCACTGGAACGCTCCTGCCACAAGCGGCACTGGTCAGTGTCAAGTGCGAGGACATGCGTGCGGACACCCCAACTGCCAGGGACTCTGCTCTACCTCCTGTGGGACGGCCTTCCCCAGGCAGGGAAGGGCTGTAAGGTAGAACGGAATGTTCCCAACTGTTTCTAGTTCTAGGCACTTCAGACTCCTGAGTGCTCCCCCGAGTGTTAGTGTGCATACAGGCAGTCCCGGGTGTACAGTCAGGAAACAGAGACTCTGCTGGATGCTGCGAACCACCCGACGTCATGCTCGCAGCTCGGGACAGGAGACCTTACCCTCACTCTGCCTGCCTCACTGCAAAGCCCTTCACTTGTTTTTAGATGCAGTTTCCACATCTGTGAAACACGGCTAATGACACCTGTCTGATGTAGCTGTCATAACTCAACAAACTTACTGAAAAATGACTTCAACAAGCCAAATGCCATATCTGGCAATGGGGACACAAGGCTGAATAGGACACAGGCTTTTTCCTCAGTTCTGAATACCAATTGGGCAATCAAGCCCAATCAAGCTCCTCTCCTCTCTTCTCTTCTACATTTGGGCTTTTTCTCCAAATGCCTGGGACTTAGAAAGAAGAAAGTATTCTGACTTCCTCAGACTTCCTAGGCACCTGTGGGCAGCCATTGGCTCTTAATTCTTCCCAGCATCCACTGGCAGCGCCCCTGCAGTCAGCTCACGGATCCCAGCACCACAGCAACCCTCACACAGTGGACGACAGACTCAGATTCTGAGCAAGCGGGATTTGGAGTCGACCTCACTTTCCAAAGTTACGTGGGCCAAGAGCTCCAATCGTGCCAGGTAGCCTTCAGCTGCCTGCCCCTTCCCAAAGGTGCCCACAGTTATTTTTCCTGCGTGGAGGTAAGAGATAAAGACTCAGTGAAGTAAGCTGCTCAAGGTCTGCTGGCCCTGTTGTCCAGGTCCACTCAGTGACCAGTCTGCCTTTGAATGCAAGTCAGTGACCCCAATATTAGGACATGGGACAGCAATGCCTCCAGTCCCATATGCTCTTCCAGAACCTTGCCACCCCCATCAGGAAGTAGGGTTTCCCTGCTCTCAATGCTGAGCACAACTTGGAGTCTGTCTTGACAAGTGGAAAGTGGCGGAGTGATGCTGTATGGCTTCTGAAGCTAGGTCATAAAAGGCAATGTGGCTCTTGCTCTGAGGACAGTAGTCTTTGAGTCCCAGCCTCCATGTAAGGAAGCCCAGGACACATAAAGAGGCCACGGGGTAGGTGTTGCAGCAACAGCCCCAGCTAAGGCCTCAGACTAAAGCCCACATCAACCACCAGACATGATCCCAGCCTCAGCCACCAAGCCTTCCAGCTGAGGCCCAGACAACGCGGGCAGGGACAAGCCATCCAAACCTCTGACCACAAAGTCCATGATCGTAACGAATCATTGCTTATGCCACTGAGTTTTAGGGTGACTCATTATGTAGAGAAACGGGAGAGAAAAATCCCACACCTTGGCCCCACGCAGTCCACAGAGTCCAACACTACACTCCATCTCCCGGAAATGGCCCCACTGTTTCTGCCTCCCCTTGCTGAGCTCACACACCCAGTTCCTGGTGAGCCCTGGACTAGTGTCCACTGAACAAAGTAACTCAAAAGGAAACTGGGTACAAGATTTTTTTAATGCCATAAGCAGCACTTGCTCGTGGCAGTAACAGGGAATCCATGTTCACTCTGAGGTCTGTGAGTGGTGCAAATGGTTAAGTGCTCAGCTACAAACCAAAAGGTTGGCAGTTTGAGTTCACCCAGAGGCACCTTGGAAGAAAAGGCCTGGCAATCTACTTCTGAAAGATCAGCCACTGAAAACGCTGTGGAGCACAGTTCTACTCTGACACACATGAGGTTGTCATGAGTCAAAATCAACTCGGTGGCAACTTGTTCATTTGTTTGTTTACATTCACTTCAATTAAAGCTAGGCTAAGACCTGGCTTCCCTAGATGTAGCCTCAACTGGGAAGTCACATGGTACCCTTGAATGCTCAAAAGAACACGGAATTAGGCTGCATTCAGTGACAGCAGAGGGGACATAAGCCATGGGGCTGAAGCCAGTGCTTCTCTAAGGGAAGAGTCTGAGCTCACCTCTGCCTTGCACTCAGGGTCCTTGGCTAGCCGGCTGGGCATCAGTCTCATGGCTGACGAGAGGCTCCCACTCCACGAAGTGACTTTGCTGTGGTGGGTGACATTTGAGCGACTGGCCAGCATCTTCTTCTCAGATACTGGAGGAAGGGGAAGCAACGAACGTTAGGAGTTGAAGGAAAGAAAAGAGCACTCACTAGTTCTACAGCTGGCTTGGCTTTCAAAGGGCCAGCCAGGTGCGCATGAGCCAAGCATGCCTACCTCCAACAAGGGAGACAGCCCAGGCCACAAGATAGCACTGCCATGTTCTGAAGCTCCCTGAGCTAAGAAATGTAGTGTGGGTTTTGGAGTCACCCAGACCTGGATGAAAACCCAAGTTCTGAGACCTGTTTACTAGCAGCAAAATACTGGACAAGTTAGCTAAAGTTTCTGAACCTCAGCTTTCTCATTCTGTAAAATGTATCCAGCCTCATCGGGGTATCACGAAGATTACATAGACAATGTGTTTAAAGCACAGAGCCTGGAATACAGAAAATGTTCAATATATATATGAGTGTTGATAAAAGGGGAACCACTTGTAAGCTTCAATATCCATCTTACCATTTTATTCCACTATATGTGTATGGGTAAATATGTCCTACTTAACTGTATTTTTCCATGAAATAGAATCTGACATTTTGACTTCAAATTATACACGTATGTATGCATGCATGTATGTATGAACGTCTTTGTCATGACTAATCTGGAAAGTCAATTAAATAAAGCTTTTGTACATGGGACATGGCACAACGGACATGGAAATAATTCCCTCCTGAATCACTATGAATTCTGTGATGCTAAAAGACTTATAACGAGTATATAAACAATAATTTAGACAGCAACGACATCCTCATAAACAAAATTAAAACCTCATTCCTGCAGCTGCATTGCCTACAATGAGGGCAAAAATGTTGAGTAACTGGTAAAATGCAAGGGACATAATATACTTGGGACGAAAGCTTTCAGTTGAGAGACGAGGAACCCAAGGCTCAAGGTCACTGCATGACGTGGTACAAAGCTGCAAAGCTGGTAGGTGAATACCAAGGTGGGGACTAGAACCCCAAGCTGCAGTGCCTGGGCCAGAACCCTGCACATAGTGACCCTTCCCTCTAAGAGATTACTGGAATCTGCTTGCTTGACTGGCACCTCAGGCCTTCCTTTCATCCCAGATGCAAAGTAGCATTTGTTCTTTGTGAAAACATATCTGAGGTTTCAGTGATGTAAATCCTACCCACAGAAATATGACAAAGAGGGTCCAGGTAGACAAAGGCTCCAGGCCCCAAGTGGAGTCTTGGAGGACCTGGCTGTATGATAACCAGAGTTCCCATTCCCTAGAGCCAAGTAGACAGAGACCTAAGTAATGCTGCCAGGCCTTGAGCATGGTCTCCTCCCAGAGTGGGGTGACCTCTTCAATCTTCACTTCACTCTCTCCAGGTTTCACGGAGAGATCAATCTTGAAGGCATCCTCCAGTGCCTGCCGCCTCTGTGCCACCAGCTGCTGCCAGAGAGTCCGCACCATCCTCTGGATATTGTGCTGGACTATAGGAGAGAAGATATTGCACAATGAGGGTGGCCTCGGGGCTTCTCCCAGAGAGGGTCAGAGGATGGGCTTCATGGCTGCTTTTAATCACATCCTCTCACTTGATTTCTTGAAGTTCACCCAGCCTTGCAAGCTCCAGCCAGAAGGCAGTCAGGAGACAGAGCCACAGGACTGATGGTAATGCCACCAACCTCAGTGAGAGCTGGCCTTTCCCCATCTCTAAATGCCAGCACTAAGTCCTCCCCTGCCTCTCATCTTCAGATCTGGGAAATATGATTGATGGGTACAGGGAGCCTCTTTACTCAATTCCCAATTCTGCTGGATACCAAACAGAAAGATTGCTTGTGTGAGCTCTAGGTAACCAAGTAGCCCCAAAACAGCTTCTCCCAGCCTTCCTTTCATGTTGGTCCTTCAGGGAAATAGACACGAACCCAAGGCTGTGCCTTGGTCCCCAGGACCCCAGCAAGTCCTCTTCCCTTGCTCTGGACCATGCTTCCCATCACCACCCATCTCAGTGGCCTGGGTTTGCCCAGATTTGTTCAGCTCAACCAAGCCAGTTCTGCCTGATGGGCCTCACACCTATAATCCTTCGAACAATGCATAAATTTTTTTCTGATCTTGGGTCATTCAGTGCCCCCTCTAGTACCAGCCTCTTGAGTCTGTTTTTCTTACTCTAGGTAGATGGAGATTGCTCAGTCCAGCTCTACTGGCCAAATCCCAGAGCATATGAGTGTTCATGTAATTAACACTGTGTCAGAATAAACTTTTAAGTCACAAGAGTTTTGAGCACTGGCTTTGGGCACCAATTTAGCCAGAACCAAGTGGCCCTTGTGCCCATCATTTTGTATCACAAGACATCACAAGGTAAGTGGCACAGTCTGCAAACCAAAGTGGTAGAAGAAGGTCTACTAGAGTTTCCTGGATCAAGAGAGAGCAGCCTCTCAAACACATGGATCTGGCTCCGCTATCTTTTTACAACTGCCAATCCCTTTGACTTCATTTGAGATTTGTAAGTCCAAGAATAACCTCCATCAAGCCAAAAAGCTCAAAGAAAGTAATGAGTTCATTTACTTTTTCTCATTTTCCAGGGGAGAAAGCTGAGAAGTAGCCAAGTAATGACTTGAGCCAGGTGAGATGGCTTGCCAGTTTCTGTGTCTAGTGGTTCAAAGAAAATTGCAAGAGATCAACTTACAGTGAGGGCCTCTGGGATTCCAGTGAGTACACCAAGTTCCTAGTCTAACCAAGCCCCACACAGCTTTCTCTTCATTTATCCATCCATCCATCCATCCAACCATCCAACCATCCATCCATTCCATTCCATTTCTAATATGCAAAGAGTATTCCAATTTTATTCTCTACCACCTTACATTTCTGTACTTCTACGATCTTCTGGGATTTCTTAGGGCCTCTTTTACCACTATATCACCCACCTCCCCAAATTAAGAGCAAATGAAATGTACCATCACTCAAACTTGGGACGTTTTCCCCTCTTTTTCCTCTCACTTCTTCATTTGGGGAGAGAAAGACTTGATGATAAGGAGTCATCCTAGGCTTGGGTTCCAATCCAAATCCTTCTGGATAGCTGGTAGAAAATAGATTTCTCATTATAAACTCTAGTCTCTTTGTGATCATTCTATTGTTCTTCATTATTAATATGCATCCCCCAAACTCAGTACACATCAACATGGAAAATCTTATCTAATCTAATTAAAACTAACACCTTAAGACAACTTCCACTATAGACATTATACAATATCATTTTAGAAAACAGGAGAAACACCTTCTTTTTATTTCTGTCTTACTAAATCCTATCCATTCTCCCAACAGGCTCCCTGAATTCTCTCCTGGTTCTCTACCTTCAAAACTGGTCATTTGTGCATCCCAAAGGATTGATTCATACCTTCATCTGGCACGGATTTTACTCTGCTTTGAATGGGGCCAAGGCTGGCTTTACAGGCATGTGACCTGGGCAGTCACACGGGGCCCAAACTCAGAAGGGCCCTGTGCTTGACTTAATGCTCTGCTGTCACCATCTTGAAATTCTCGGTAATTTTTTCAACAAGGGCCTGCCCTTTAATTTTACCGAGAGCCCCACATCTTATGTAGCCAGGTCTAAGTGGGGCACAGAAGTTTACATATCAGGCTTCCTGTGGCCTCTGTGCTCCTGGGGTCCAAGACATGTCAATATCCATGTGTCCCTTCCCCCAAGACTCCTTCAGCTTCATGAGCACAACAGGCACAATCCAGTATTTGTGGACTGGACCGGAAATGACAAACATAGAAGTGAAAAATACCAGCATATGTGAATGTCTATTCTTGAAATTTCTAGAATGAAGTAGTAACACACTCACCCTTTGGATTTGGGGGCCATTTTACTAAACAGAAGAATGGAATCTGAAGAGGATGTCATTTCAAGCACACAAATTAATTGGCATGCCACACTACTTACCTACGTTGTTGTTATATGTTGGTTGCCTTCGAGTCAATTCCAACTCGTAGCAACCCCATGTGTGCACAGTAGAACTGCTCCATACTGTTTTCAAGGCTCTGACCTTTCAGAAGCAGACAGCCAGGACTTACTTCCGAGGAGCATCTGAGGTGGGTTTGAACCACCAACCTTCCGGTAGCACAGCGCTTAACTATATGTGCCACTAATTCTTGAGATGTTAGGGAAAAAAAAATAATCTCCCCAAACTTAATCCACACACTGACAATGGAATACTTTATTTAAAAAAAAAAAACCCATAATAATCAAAAGTGCCTCCTCTAGGCTACGAATATTTCCCAGTGCTTCCCAGGGAGTGGTAAGATAAGTCAGCTGTAGTGTCCTGTTGCATTCAATAGTCAACTCTAGAGAATTATTTTTTTAACCTTTTTCCCCATACAAAAATTTATACATACATTCTTATGTGACCCTAACTGCTCTCCCCATACTGTAACAGCACACTCCTCCTTTCCACCCCTGATTCCCCATGTCCATTCAACCAGCTCCTAACCCTCTCCGCCTTTCCCATCTCACCTCCGGACAGAAGCTGCCCATTTAGTCTCTTGTATCTACTTGAGCTAAGAGGCACACTCCTCCTGAGTATCACTTTACGTCCCACAGTCTAGTCAAATAACTGTCTGAAGAGTTGGCCTCGGAAATTGTTTAAAGTTCTGGGCTGATAGAGAATCTGGGGGCCGTGTTTTCTGGGGTACTTCCAGTCTCAGTCAGACCATTAAGTCTGGTCTTCTTACTAGAATTTGAGTTCTGCACCCCACCTTTCTCCTGCTCCATCAGGGATTCTCTTTTGTGTTCTCTGTCAGGGCGGTCATTGGTGGTAGCCGGGCACCATCTAGTTCTTCTGGTCTCAGGCTGATGAAGTCTCCAGTTTATGTGGCCCTTTCTGTCTCTTGGGCTAATACTTTCCTTGTGTCTTTGGTGTTCTTCATACTCCTTTACTCCAGGTGGTTGAGATCAATTGATGAATCTTAGATGGCTGCTTGCAAGCTTTTAAGACCCCAGACACCACTCACCAAAGTAGGATGCAGAACATTTTCTTAATAAGCTTTGTTACGCCAATTGACCTAGCTGTCCCCCGAAAGCATGGACCCCAGACCCCTACCCCTGCTACTCTGTCCCTCAAAGTGTTTGATTGTATTCAGGAAACTTCTTAGCTTCAGTTTAGTCCAGTTGTGCTGACTTCCCCTGTAGTGTGTGCTGTCCTTCCCTTCACCTAAGATGATTCTTATCTACTATCTAGTTAGTAAATAACCTTCACTCTCCCTCCCCTCCCTCATAACCACCGAAGAATGGTTTCTTCTATGTTTAAACCTTTTCTTGAATTCTTATAATAGTGGTCTTATACAACATTTGTCCTTCTGTGACTAACTAAATTCACTCAGCATAATGACCTCCAGCTTCCTCCATGTTATGTTTCACGGCTTCATCGTTGTTCTTATTCGTCCGTTGATGGGCACCTAGGTTGTTTCCATCTTTTTGCTATAGTGAACAGCGCTGCAGTGAACATGGGTGTGCATATATCTATATGTGTGACGGCTCTGATTTCTCTAGGATATATTCCAAGAAGCAGGATAGCTGGATCGTATCTTCTATTTCTAGCTTTTTAAGGAAGCGCTAAATTGATTTCCAAAGTGGTTCTACCATTTTACATTCCCAGCAACAGTGTATAAGTGTTCCAGTCTCTCCACAACCTCTCCAGCATTTAATGTTTTGTGTTTTTTGGATTAATGCTAGCCATGTTGGGGTGAGATGATATCTCATTGTCGTTTTGATCTACATTTCTCTAATGGCTAATGATCATGAGCACTTCTTCATGCGTCTGTTAGCCACCTGAATATCTTCTTTGGTGAAGGGCTGTTCATATCCTTTGTCCATTTTTTAATTGGGTTATTTGTCTTTTTGTTGTTGAGGTTTTGCAGTATCTTGTAGACTTTAGAGATTAGACATTGATCGGATTTGTCGTAGCCAAAAACTTTTTCCCAGTCTGCAGGCTGTCTTTTGACTCTTTTGGTGAAGTCTTTTGATGAGCATAAGTGTTTGATTTTTAGGAGCTCCTGTTTATCTAGTCTCTCCTCTGGTGCTTATGCATTGTTACTTATGGTTCGTATTGTGTTTATGCAATGTATTAGGGCTCCCAGCATTGTCCTTATTTTTTCTTCCACGATCTTTATCGTTTTTCATTTTATATTTGTCTTTGATCCATTTTGAGTTAGTTTTTGTGCATGATGTGAGGTATGGGTCTTGTTTCAGTTATGCCAGCACCATTTGTCAAAGAGACTTTTTCCCAATTAACGGACTTTGGGCCTTTGGCGAATATCAGCTGCTTATAGGTGGAAGAATTTATGTCTGGATTCTCAATTCTATTCCATTGGTCTATGTATCTGTTGCTGTACCAATACCAGGCTGTTTTGACTACTGTGGCAGTATAATAGGTTCTAAAATCAGGTATTGTGGGGACTCCCACTTTGTTCTTTTTCTTGAGTAATGCTTTACTTATCCGGGGCCTCTTCCCTTACCATATGAAGCTGGTAATTTGTTTCTCCATCTCATTTAAAAATGTCACTGGAATTTGGATCGGAATTGCACTGTATCTGTAAATCACTTTGGGTAGAACTGACATTTTCACAATGTTGAGTCTATCTATCCATCAGCAAGGTATGTTCTTCCACTTATGCAGGTCTCTTTTGGTTTCTTGCAGTACTGTCTTGTAGTTTGCACTGTATAGATCTTTTATGTCTCTGGTTAGATTCATTCCTAAGTATTTATCTTCTTGGGGGCTATTGTAAAGGGTATTGATTTGGTGATTTCCTCTTCAAGGTTCTCTTTGTTGGTCTAGAGGAATCTAACTGATTTTTGTATGTTTATCTTGTATCCTGAAACTTTGCTGAAATCTTCTGTTAGTTCCAGTAGTTTTCTTGTGGATTCTTTGGGATTTTCTGTGTATAAGATCATAT